AAGAGAGTAAATGAAGAGGAATGAGCGACCAACAGCGTCAAATGCCCCTGAAACGTCAAATAAGGTGCACACTGAGAACTGGGCACGGACCCATCAATGTGGGGTTACCGTTGACCTTGACAAGAGCAAGAACGGAGCTCTGCAAAAAGCAGGATGTCCCCAAAGTGTTCTCAGTACCGGACAGTATTGAGTGTCACCTCTCTTAGGTTTTTAGAGCAGAATTATCAGCACCTAATTAGGTATGATGTAACCATGCCACCAAATTTAGATCTTTTTCTAACGCTAACCCTACTTGAGAAATATAAAAATGTAAAATTATATCTCTTTATCTGTTTTATGCCAGAGGATTTAGGGATGTCATTTTTTAAAAAGAAGATTTAATTTTAAAACTAGCAAAAGTGAAGTTCAGAAAACTTGCAGAATTCCAATGACATTAAATAATTTTATTATATGTAACAATTGTTGGATAAATGAGTGAAAATACTAATAAAATGGCTAACATTTATTTTGCATCTGCTATATCCCAAGCACTGTTATTTTTAAGCACTTGACGTGGGTTATTTCACTTATTCTTCACAATAATAAAATTAGGAAGGTACTACTGTTAGGCTCAAGTTAGAGATGAGAAAGTAGAGACTCAGAGAGGGTGAGAAACCCCTTGAAGGCCACACAGCTGGGAAGCTGTGTGCCACTTTTACTGCCACGACACGCTGCCTCCTGGTGCTGAACGGCAGCTGAAGCTCAGGATGGAGAGACGAATGGCACAGAGCCCATGAACCCTTGAAATGCATTTTAGACTTTTGATCCTCCAAGATTTTTTTCCAACAACAAAAAAGTAGATCACTCTTTTTTTGCACTAGTTTTGTGTACTATTTAATGAAATTATGCAGAGGGAGATAAAGTAGCCCTTCTTACGGCCCCTGCTGCACCCCAGTCCCCAAATTAACTACCATTAATGGGTTGGAGCACACATTTCCAGATTTTTCCCCCAACATATTTGTTTTCAGATTCTATTTAATCAGACTAAATGTAATAAAGCTTTTATTATTTATTTATCTATTTATTTACCAAATGCTTCTTTATGTATAAGCAGGACAAGGGAGAGGTTATGACAATAAAGTTCCAGAGAGTTCTGGAACACCTGCAACACTTTTGCATAACAGTCCAGGTTCCATGCTTGCACTCCGCCTCTTCCCTTCCCACGGTCATTCCAAGTGGACTCAAGAACTCTCTCCTGTGCCTCATCTGTCCTCAAGCTCCTCACCGCGTGGCCACCTCCAGGAGCAATGCTGAATTGCGTGTTAAATAACAGTACGATCTCCGTGTTCGTACCAAAGTTCAAAGTATAATGATCTGTATAAAAACAATGTTTGCCCAACCGGTTAACTGGTGTGTTGGAAAATGGACACTCCTTTGTAGCCCATTGGTTGAAATCAGAGTGACAGCAATTAACATTTTAGGCAAAAGAGCGAGGCTGTTTACGTACTTTTTTGGTATGGAGTGTCTTTATGACACTTAGAAGAGCCAAACAGTGGGTAAGAGCAAAGAGTCAGGCTTCAGAGCAATGATAAACAAACGCAGAAACCACCAGGCATGCAGAAGGAGAACCTGGCGTCTACTCTCTAATTCTCAATTCCACAAAGTAGGAACTCGCTTTCTGGCTCTCTTTCCTTAGAATTGAGCTGATTATAGTAACACCCGCAGTGGGGGCAGTACTCATAGATCTTAGTACGAGGGCTGCCTCCTAGCCTATTACGCTGGGAAATGGCACATCCGGTATCAAAGTTAGAAATTCTGGGCACCAGATCACCGTTCGGAAAGGCCCTCCGAGTGCCCCACTTCCCAGTAATGGAGATCTCCAACTTAATTGTAAATACCTACGGGAATGAACAACTGTTGAATGAAGTAAAAAGTTCCGGAAAGGTCTCTTAAAACGAAGAGGTCAGAGACGTCATTCAGTTGTTCAGGTAAATGTGACCTCAGTGCAGCAAGAGAAAACTACCACGACATTTGTTGACGTAAGGCTCTAGGATATCAAAATCCAATGCGCACTCCTATATGCTAGAGGGGCGGCAAAACAGAATGGTGTAAGGGCTAATGGACTCCACCGTCCAGCTCTCCCACCAAGAGTTGTCGAGGGCCTTCTCTGTCCCGGGCACTTTGGATACAATGGTCAGCAAAACTGACAAAGGTCCCCGCCCTTGTGCTTTCTTGCCATAGATAGATACACAGATGGATACATAGATAGACAGACAGATGACAGGTCATTCCCCCATTGGTCACTAAACAATAAACCAATAAACCAATAGCCAAGTATACAGTATTCCAGATAGAGATGCTGTGAATCACTGTTCCCACCACTCGAGCAAGTTTCTTAACCTTTCTACTTCTTTCACCATGAAAACGGGACTATGATACTGCTCCCTCATAATATTGTCCCCCCCCCCACCTCCACTTTATGAAATAGGGTCCCTTCCGAGGCTCCAAAGTGACACCTCCTTCAATGGGAGGCTCCCCAGTGGGTTCCAAGATGGCGGCCCCTCAATGACCCCCAGGGATGTCTGCGAAAAGCAAAGAAAACAAGTCCAATCTTTGCTGCAACTTCCCACTTCGGCAGCAAAGTCTCGAAGACTTCAGGCTCGTCTTCCCTGTTCTGTCTCCTTCTCGTTCCTTCATCCATGTCACCTTCTCTCCCCCTCAAGGCGGCTCTCCTGCTCACTGCCCCCATCTCTCCCTCTCTCCTCTCCAAGCCCCTACTTTTTACCCTCCAAGAACACCTCGGTTTCCCCTTTCCATGTTCCTCCCCCCACCAGCCTTAAATCTCCTTAAAAAATGTGGTTTTAATCAGTAGTGGAAATTTCTAAACACGAATTTATAATATAAATACTGGCAAAACTCTCTAGCTGCGTGAATGTTAGTGCAATAATGCAAAACTACCCAAGATGCACTAAATAAGTGGTGGTTATTCAAACAAAAAACCTCATTTAAATGATTTAAAAGAGGTTATTATAAGACTATTTTCCCAGTGACCTTCAAATATGTATCTTCTCTGTAGAGTACACATACTGTAACAGAAACCCCAGACAGTGTTATAACTAGTGAGCCCAGAATCTAACACACGCGTTACTGCTGGTGCGTGAGTTTCTTTTAACAGTGAATTTAGTTCTATCCTCTGTACTATAGAAAATGAAAAAGAATTTGAGTGTGTATTAAGCATATGAATGTGAAATAAAATACAGAAAGTTACAAGAAGGGTCTATGGAGAATGAATGGGCAAACGTATAGAAAGGACTTTTATGGATATGAGAGGCCTCTGGTTAGGAATGGGAGGAACATCAGCCACAGGCTTTCCGAAGAGACTCTCAAATAAACGCAGGCCACGAGAAAGCGATTTCTCCATCGAGGTTTGGGAGGCCCCTCCCAACCTCTTCCCCAAAACCCCACTTTGTCCTCTGAGTTGTTTAGGGTTTTGTTCTCCAGCCTCCAAATATATTTATTCCCAATCAGCAAACAAGAAAATTCCATTAAAATTTTATTAAATTTCTGAAAAAAATTAAAAAGTAAAAACAAAATGAAATGATTTCCTGGAATGTTGCAAACCACACCTTGGAAAAAGTATCAGTGAAGTGCAAATGATTTTAATCCTCGGTTGGCTCCAAACTTGCACTTTTTGTATCTAGTTGGAGATGTGAACCTTACTTCTTCTGGAGACCACCAAAATTATTAATGTCTGTTAAAAAGAATGCATTGAGGTGTCATTCACACAAGAGAAAAGTAACCTCTTCAAAGCGAACAATTCGGTGACTGCATTTGCAACGCTGTGGCTCCGCTGAGTTTTAGCTCTCTCCCCACCTTCTCTGTTTCTCCTTCATTTCCCTGTCTCTCGCCTTCCCACCTACCTTAGAGGAGATGTTTTGCAAAGAATTTTCTAAGATCTAAAGAGCTGGGAAAGACTGACAGCTGTGTGAGTGGTCCAGCCCCTCCAGCCAACTGCCTCCGGCTCCTTCCTCCCTCTCTGCTTCTATCTGCCCCATTTCTTCCTCCTAGCCTCCCCACTTCTCCTCCACAAGGCGCCCTTCCTACCACCCAAATTCTATTATTCTATCGACTTCCACTCGGCCCCACCCCCACCCCCCGCCCCTAGTCTTGGTCCCTCCCATTCTCCATCATGCCCACCATATTTCCCCTCTCCCGCCATGTCTCCTCTCCCATCTGCCTCCTGCTCAGGTCTCCGGAGCTTTCTACAGGTTCCCTCCTCCCCCTTCCACTTTCCGTCCACCTGCCCCACTCCATCTTTTGAAACTCCTTCAGTTCTCTCCCCTTCACTCCCCCACCTTGTCCACCGTCCCACCCCAAGTCTCTGGGGGCGCCCCCTGTAGGTCCTTCCTTCCCCCTCTGTTTCCCTCCTCATCCATCTCCCTCCACGTCTCTCAGCGCCCCCTGCAGGTCCACCTCCACTTCCCTCCATATCCATCCTCCCTCAGGTCTCAGCGCCCGCCCCCCCCAGGTCCCTGCTTCCCCCTCCACTCCCTTCCTCATCCATCCCCTCCCGAGGTTTCGTGCCCCCTGCAGGTTCCCCCACTTCCCTCCTCATCCATCTCCCCTGGGTCTCAGCGCCCCCTGTGGGTCCCCCTCTATTTCCCCATGTCTATCCCCCCCCACCCCCATCTCACCGCCCCCTGCAGGTTCCCCCACTGGCCTCCTCATCCATCTCCCCCAGGTCTCAGCGCCCCCTGTGGGTCCCCATCTATTTCCCCACGTCTATCTCCTCCTCCCCCGTCTCAGCGCCCCCTGTGGGTCCACCCTCACTCCCCTCTTCATCCATCTCCCCCAGGTCTCAGTGCCCCCTGCGCGTCTCCCTCTATTTCCCCACATCTATCCCCTCCCCATCAGGTCTCAGCACCCCCTGCAGGTCCCCCCAACCCCGCCTCCCCCGGGGTCGTCGTCCATCTCCCCCTCCCCCCTGGCCCCGCCCCTTGCTCACTGTCCCTTTCCCGCCCTGCGGCTGCGCACTGCCATCCTCGACCCTCGCGCCCGGGCGGCTGGCGGCGAGCAGCGGCTTGCAGCACGCGGAGGCTCAAGGCGGAGCCCAGCTGGCTGGGGCGGGCCAGGCGCTCAGGCTCCGCCTCCAGGGTGAGGGGCTGCCCGGGGGGCCAGCCTGCGGTGGCTCAGAGCACAGGCTGCTCGGGCGTGGGTGTGGGCGGCGGGGGAGGGCCCGGCTGGCGGCCGCGTGGGCGGGAGGCCCAGGCTGCGCTGCCGGGAGGGTGGGGGCGCCCCAGGCCCGGTGGGTGCGCGTGCGTGCGCGTGAGGCCTGCTTGGCCAAGGCTGGCGGGCTAGAGGTTCTAGGCTCAAAACCTGCGGGCCACAGATGGTGCTCGGTCTGAATTATGCAATGGTGGAAAGCTTGCTCAGGCCTCACCTGGCTAGGCTTAGAATGTGCACTAACCCAAACCCTGCTCAGGCCCCTGCTTGCTAGGCCTGGAACGTGCATTTGCTGGAAGCCTGCTCAGGCCCAAGCTTTCTAGGCCTAGAATGTGCACTAACCCAAACCCTGCTCAGGCCCCTCCTTGCTAGGCCTGGAACGTGCATTTGCTGGAAGCCTGCTCAGGCCCAAGCTTTCTAGGCCTAGAATGTGCACTAACCCAAACCCTGCTCAGGCCCCTCCTTGCTAGGCCTGGAACGTGCATTTGCTGGAAGCCTGCTCAGGCCCAAGCTTTCTAGGCCTAGAATGTGCACTAACCCAAACCCTGCTCAGGCCCCTCCTTGCTAGGCCTGGAATGTGCATTTGCTGGAAGCCTGCTCAGGCCCGAGCTTTCTAGGCCTAGAATGTGCACTAACCCAAACCCTGCTCACGCCCCTCCTTGCTAGGCCTGGAACGTGCATTTGCTGGAAGCCTGCTCAGGGCCAGATCTTTTGGTTTTAGAATCTTCTGGACAGACACCTGCTTAAGCCTAAACCCTGCTTAGGCTCAGCCCCTCCTAGGCCTAGGCTGAGCCAACTTAATCCTGGCCCCTACAAGGCCCAAAGCGTTTTGAGGCGAGAACCTCATCAGGCCTGGATGTCCCCGAAGCCTGCTAGGTCCAGACCCCACTGTGCCTTACCAAGACCACTCGCTGCTTTCTCAAACAGGCCCAGCCACCATGGCAGAGACTGAGATCTCAGTCCCTTCTGAGCAGTTCACCAAAATCAAAGAACTGGAGTTAATGCCAGAAGTCCTGGAGGAGAAGGCCGAGGAAGATGGCGTGTGCACAGTGATGGAGGGCCCGAGACCTGGCGAGTTGGAGGCCCAGTGCACCTATGAGGCCCTCCAGGCGAAGATGCTGGAGGGAGGGCAGGAGCTGGTGCTGGTCCCCACAGAGGAGAGCCAGAAGCAAATTCTGACCCTGCAGACGGTGCACTTCGTCTCTGAAGATGTGGAGCTGCAGGACATCAGCTGGCTGGCCCCTGAGCACCAAGAAGGGGTGCAGGTGGTGGTGCAGCAGGCCGGCAGCGGGCTCCAGCCGCTGCTGTGGCTTGAAGAGGGGTCCCTGCAGAGCCTGCACCAGTGCCTGGCCGTCAGTGGCCAAGAAGAGGTGTACGCCCTGCAAGAGATGCAGGCGGTGCAGGTGCACGTTCTGGAGGGGAACGCGGCCGCAGTCGGCGGGGACAGTGAGTTTGTGGTGAGCCTGGCTGAAAACACTGGCCTGATTAAGGTAGGGCTGGTTTCAACAAACGAACCCCTTACGCAGGGAAAGAAACCCAGAAAACTACTTTTTTAAGTTGCTCTTTGTGCAGTGTTATGTGTGGAGAAGCAGTTTAAAGTTAAACACAGTGAAAATAATGCCCAGGAAAATCCTGGGAGACCTCCTGTTCTTTTTTAAGAGTTAAAAAAGTTGCACTAATTAGAATACTATAAGGTACATTGTGTTTAAAAAAGAAAAAAGCTTATGTTTCACCCTCAAAGCTCTTGATGCTTAATAATTACAGCTTAAGCATTTCAGTTGCAATGGACAGTCTTTTGTGCTGCTTTTGTTTTTGTTTTTCTTTATGTATTCTGTGGTTACATCAAGGCAAGGAGTTTAATCAGATTGTAATTAATAGTATCGTATTTGTTTGAATACTTATTCTTGCTCGTTAGCTTGAGAAAGGTCTGGAGGAAGCCCAGCTGGTGGCTGAAGGAGGGTTCAGCGGCGGAACAGAAGAGCAGCTCTTTCTCTTGGAAGCTGGGCCGGGCAATGAAGGAAGAGAAGAAATTATTCTGACGATGTCACGCTTAAACGTGGAGGAACAAGAAGATAAACCTGCATCTGATCCAGCGTGTGTTGAAAAAGCCACCTCTCCAAAAGATCACAAAAAGGCAAAGGGTAGGCCAGTTCCTGGGGTAGGAGAGGCTGCCGGGAACGGGGCGGCTCTTCCTTCCGTGGAAGGAGGTGGTAGTTGACGTTTTAAGTGGTTGACTCTCGGTTGCTTTCAGAATGTCAGGAAATGGGAGAAATTTTAAACTAATGTTCTGTATTGTGAATCAAATCCAAAAGAGTTTTGTGTTTTGCACACAAACGTTTTAAAAACACGGTAAAGACGTTCCAGCGAAGCACTGTGCACGTAGAGAGAAGGGGGGGCCCTGACCTGCGCCCTAGTTTTCAGCCCCGTGGGGGTGGGGCTGGTGGAGAGGAGAGCCGGTGCTGCAGGGCTGGGAGTGATGTCCGAAGGCAGCAGAGGTGCCATCCAGGGAAGAGGATGTCTGGGTGAGGCCAGGAGGGGGGACTCGGAAACCATTAAGACTGGGATCAGCGTTCCTGGCAGCAGGAGTGGCCTGTGGGTGTGGCTGCAGAGTGTGTGGCTTCTGATGAGGGTGGACGGCTCTATTGTGCCGGGAGAGCCACACAGACGGGTGCTCGGAGAGGAAGATCGGGCGAGGTGAGGAAATTACATCATTAAAACTGAGACCGCATCACGACAGCCCACAGGGTGAATTTGACCCTCAAAAATTATTTGTTTGGCTTTTAAAAAAAATACTAGTTTCTTGGGGCCGGCCCAGTGGTGTAGTGGTTAAGTTCACACACTCCACTTCATCCGCCTGGGGTTTGCGGCTTCGGATATCCCAGGTGTGGACCTACCCACTGCTCATCATGCCATGCTGTGGCGGCATCCCACACACAAAATGGAGGAAGATTGCCACAGATGTTTGCTCGGGGACAATCTTCCTCGAGCAAAAAGAGGAAGATTGGCAGCAGATGTTAGCTCAGAGCCACTCTTCCTCACCAAAAAAAAAAACAAAAAAACCCTAGTCTCTCACTTATTTAAGTGAAGAGAGTTCACCCCTAAAATCTCCATTTCTAGCTCATTTTTAAAAAGTCATTTCTGGCAACACTCAGCTCTGTTTCCTTCCTCCAGGAACAGGTGGCGGGGCTGGGAAGTGACTTGGTTTAGAAAGCCGCATTGCCACCGCCGTCCCTCCTTCCTACCTGTGGTTAGAGTCGTTTAGTTCGGTGTATTGCCTCTGCTTCAGTAGGTGGCAGAGTTTGCAACCTTTGCTATACATTAGCTTCTCAGATTTTTAAACCAAGAGATTATACCCCCAAATCCCCAATTCCTACCTCATTTTCAGCTTTTTAGTATATTCACAATTTTTTACAACCATTGCCACTAATTCCAAAACACCTTCATCACCCCCAAAAGAAACCTCAACTATTAAGCAGTCACTTCCCACCCCACCCGCTCCCCAGCCACTGGCCACCACCATTCTACTTTTTGTCTCTGTGGCTTTGCCTGTTCTGGACGTTTCTTCTACTTGGAATCAGGCACATACAATATATGGCCTTTCGTGTCTGGATTCTTTCGCGTAGCACGTGTTTTCAAGGTTCTTCTGTGTCGTGTCAGCGCTTCACTCGTCGTTGCTGAACAGTGTCCCGTTGTGTGTATCCACCGTGTTTTGTTCATCCGTTCATCCACCGAGCAACTTTTAGGCTCTTTCTGCCTTTCGGCTGTTGGGGGTGACGCCGCTGTGAGCATTCACGTACAAGTGTGCGTTGGAACACCTGTTTTCACTTCTTTGGGGTGTGTACCTGGGAGCGGAACTGCTGGGTCTTCTGGTTACTCCGTTTCCCTTTTTGAGGAGCTGCCAAGCTGCTTCCCACGGCAGCTGCGCCGGTTTACATTCCCGCCACAGTGCATGAGGGTTCCAGTTTCTCCACACTCTCACCAACACATTCTCCATTTTTAAAAAATTACAGCCATCCTAGTGAGTGTGAAGAGGGATCTCTCTGTGGTTTTGATTTGCGTTTCTCAAATGACTAATGATGTTGAGCGGCTTTGCGTATGCATGTTGGCCGTTCTTGGGTCTTCTTTGGAGAAATGTCTGTTCAAGTCCTTTGCCCATTTTTTAATTGGTGCCTGTATTCGTTTCCCGGTGGCTGCTGGAACAAAACACCGCAAACGAGTGACTTACAACAACAGAAGTGTGTTCTCTCACGGTTCTGGAGGCTGGAAGTCTGGAGTCACGGTGTTGGCACAGCCACCCCCTCTTGGAAGGCTGTGGGAGCAAATCTGTTCTGAGCTTTTCCGTTAGCTTCTGGAGTTGCCAGCAATCCTGGCAGTCCCCGGCTTGTAGATGTGTCAGTCCAGCCTCTGCCTCTGTTGTCACATAAACTGTCCCTGTGTGTCTTCCTTTTCTTATCAGGACACCAGCCATTGGATTAGGACCCACCCTCACCCAGTAGGACCACCTGAACTTGAGCACATCTGCAAAGCCCCTACTTGCAAATAAGGTCACATTCACAGATATTTGCCGTTAGGACCTCAGCATATCTCTTGGGAACATAATTCAATCCATAAACCTTTGTTCCAAGTTTGTTGAGTGTTTCATCGTGGAAGGATGTTGGAATTTGTGAAATGCTTTTTCTGCATCTGTGGAGACGATCGTTTTTGTTAATATGGTGCGTTACCTGGATTGATTTTCGTATTTCATATGGAACCACTCTTGCATTCCTGCGATAAATGCCACTTGGTCGTGGTGCACAATCCTTTGCCGCCCTCCTGGATTTGGTTTGTTGCTGTTGTGTTGAAGTTTTCACATCTGTGTTCGTAAGGGATATGGGTCTGTTGTTTTTTCTTTTGGTGTCAGAGTAACACTGGCCTCACAGAATGAGTTCGGAAGTGTTTCCTGTTCTTCTAAGTTCGAGAAAGATTGATGTTCATTTTTCTTTTAGCATTTGATAGAATTCTGCAGTGAAGCCGCCTGGTCCTGTGGCTTTCTTTGTCAAGAGGCTTTGATTAATGACTCGATCTCTTTATTTGTTACAGGTCTGTTTAGATTTGTTACAGGCCTGTTGGGATGTTCTTCTCCAGTTGGTTTTTGTAGTTTGTGCGTTTCTAGGAATTTCTCCATTCCGTCTAGGTTATCTAGTCGGTTGGCACACACCTGTCCACTGTATTCGCTTATTATCCTTTTTGTTTCTGTGTGGTTGGTAGTAACATATCCACTTTTCTTTCTGATTTTAGTTATTTGAATTTTCTCTGTTTTTTCTTGTTTACAAGTCCAGATAAAGGTTTGTCAGTGTTGATCTTTTAAAAAAACCCACTTTTGGTCCAGTGGTCCTCTGTCGTTTTCTGTTCCCTGTCTCATGTATCTCCTCATAACTCTTGATTATTTCCTTCCTCTGCTCGCTAGGGGTGCAGGGTTTCTCTCTTTTGTCTGGTTCTTCAAGATGTAAAGTTAGGTTACTGGTCTGAGCTTCCTTTGATGTGTTTAATGGAATTGGGACATCTAAAGAAAGATTTTTACAAATGTATAAACGCTGTGTCTTCTTCTTGCAGGAGGAGAACGAACCTTCCAGTGTGACGTCTGTGGGTTCACCTCTTCTAGAATCTCGAGTTTTAACCGTCACAAGAAAACTCACAGCAATGAGAAGCCCCACACGTGCCACCTGTGCCTGAAGGCCTTCCGCAGTGTGACCCTTCTGCGGAACCACGTCAACACCCACACGGGTAAGACCACCGAGAAGCGATTCCCCGTGGCTGGTCCACCCATTTCTACTTTAAAATAATGTGTTGTTTTAGACTTTCGTTTTGTCTTTTCTTCTTCAATTTTGGTTAAAAATGTTGAAAGTCACAGAGATTTTCTCACATCTGTCTGGGTTATTTATGGTTTAAAGAGCCTCTTAATTTTTAAAACATTTGCGACTGAGTATAATTTATGTTATAAACTCCTATGAAAATCTATGGTTAAATCTTGTTTTAATAGGAAAAACTGTGTGATTTTACAGGAACCAAGCCCTACAAGTGTGGCGACTGTGACATGGCGTTTGTCACCAGTGGAGAACTTGTCCGACACAGACGTTATAAACACACTCACGAGAAACCCTTTAAATGCTCCATGTGCAAGTACGCCAGCGTGGAAGTAAGTGCACTCTTGTCCCTGAAGCTTTGTGGCGTCTTCTCAGAAGCAGCCGTGAAGGTCGTTCAGTTAAACTCACGGCAGAATCTCTTACAAAATAGTTTTTCCTAAAGATGTCATTCACACCAAATCTAGGCAGGAAATAATAGGCGTTCCATCTTCTAAATTTAAAATAGAAAATTGGGTTTCTTTTTTTCTTTGATTATCGAAAAGTGAAAGCAATAGGTAAAGGGGTGCAAATTACAATTAAAGTGACTTGTGATGCTTGAGAGCTAACTCTCAAATTTGTCACAAAGTTCCCCCCAGTATCTTCTGTAATTCTCGGTTCCACAAGAGCAAGGTGTGTGCTCCGACCTAGAAAGCAGGTCAGTCTGAAGCTTTGCTGGAAGTTTTCACTTTACCTCCACGGCACGTGGGCAGATACAGAGCAACTTGCCTGAAGATCTAACCAGCCATTTCCACTGCTTGTCACAGAGACCACCCGTTTCAGACTTCAGTCACGTGTTGTGGTCACTTCAACAGACTGTCTTATTTGTACCTTCTCGCAGATTTAGCGGGTCTCTGGGTGAAACAGTAGCAGAACACGATGCCTGCTTTCCCGTCTCAGTTTCCCGCGATTGATGTTAAGGGCCGCCCTGTCTGGGAGGGCGCCTGCCGGCTCCTGGGGCCCAGCCCGTCGGGAAACGGTGATACACTCGAACAGAACTGAGTGAAAGGGGACAGCTCGAGTTTAAATATAGGAATGAGGCAACTGTGTTTCATAAACTAGGAAATTCCATGCACAGGGTCACACTTCGATTCCAAGAATCTTTTTCTGCTATTATGGTTTTTAAGAACTACTTTTCCTCTGAGTTAAAGGTTATGCCTGTAGTATGAAAGCATGAAATGAGGGTGTCAAAGAACGAAACCATCTGAGATCCTGAGCCCGGGGTGGACTTCTTGCTGGTGTCCTGTTCTCAGTGCAGATGCCCAGGCCCCCTGACACCCTTCCCGGGTGGGTGGTCTGCACGCAGCCCGCGGAGTGGTCGGCCTCGGCCTGTACACCCTCTGCTGCTGCCTTGACCCCCGTTTTTGCAGTTTCCAAGTCTTGCCAGGCTGGTCTGCTTTAAGGGAGCGTAGCCTGAGCCCCTCTCTGCACCACACCACCCTTCCACGTACGCCAGCAGGACTGTACGGGAGCTGTGGGGTCGGCTGCACCAGCTCCGAAAGCCTCCCTTTTGAAGCTGTCCAGAGAAGGTGCATCCACAGCCTTCTTTGATCCTTCACACCGCTCATCCTATCAAACCCTTCATGCTATCATTTTAAAAATTCTTTTTATTTCGCTTTCTGATGTACTTGAAGCCATCTACTTTTCTTCTGAAAATCTAAATTTTTCCGTTTGGATCTTGGTTTCCATTCTAAGTCTTCTTTTGTTCTTGAACGTTCCTCAGGCTTGTGTGTGCCTGTCGATTTGGGGGAGCCAGACGGAGTAGCCTTCCCGGGGTCACGAGCAGGGCTGGCGCGGGCCTTCCTACATCCGTAGCCTGGGTGTGGCTGCTGGTCCACTGAGCCCCGAGGCAGAGAAGGGCCCGCAGAATTCAGGCGAATTCAGAGTAAGACAGTCCAGGAGGTGATGGAACAGTCAGGCAAAAAGTAGTCAAATGGGAGGTAATTTGTTTGCCTTTTAACTAATTGCCTGGGATATTAACTAATCAAATTAGAGTTAATTTTCTTCAACTTAAAAATTGCTTCTTATGAGAAACTCCTGACACGTGGCAGCCATCCCTAGTGGGGAGGAAGGCCGTCCTCCATTCACGTGCCCTTTAGGGTCCACGGAACTCGGAGCCGTGACGGTCCACTGACGAGCTGATGTTCCAAGGTTCCCACTTTATGTGCAAACAGAAATCTTCTGGCTCTGCACAGTCCGCGTGATCTAAACTTTCCAGCTCTTGAGCGTATGTTCCTTAGGAATGAAAATAAAACCACGGATGGCCCTGAGTGGCTAGGTTTCAGTTTCTCCCTGGTAAAGTGCAGTTGAGCTGAGTCTCTTGAAACGACCCCTCTGGATCCCCCGAGGGTCTCACACACGCGTCACAGGAAGAGAATCCTCTGCAGCAGAAAATAAAAAGTCGCGGCTGGTTCAAGTTCTCGTGTGTGAAATAGGCATTGATTTTAAAATGGGATGAGTTTGGACGTCTTGTACGATGCTGGTTGTTTGAAGACTCGGCAAGCGTGGAGCTTCCGTCGTGGTAAATCCCTCTCGTTTGTCCTCCAGGCGAGCAAGCTGACACGGCACATCCGCTCGCACACGGGGGAGCGGCCCTTCCAGTGCGGCCTCTGCAGCTACGCCAGCAAGGACACCTACAAGCTGAAGCGGCACGTGCGGACGCACTCAGGTACCGGCCCGGGGCTTGCAGCCCTCTGGGGAGCGTGTGGTCCGCTGTCAAAGTGGGCGCGTGGAAGTTACCCTTTGGTGGCAGAATTAAAGCTCACGAGTCAAAGTGAATTTCCCGCTGCCTTTGGGACGTGGGGCTTTTGATCTGTACCTTTGCGTTTATTTTGCGTCAAGGGAGCCCCGTAAATCCTGTGCTGACCCACCGTGAGGAGTAGAACTTCAAGTACTTGCTTCCACACGTGTTGCAGGGGATTAAAAGTCAGCTCCTTAGTTCATCCTTCAACTCTAAGGCAAAATATAAAGCCAAATGTGCTGGTTTCAGAATAGGCTTCCTCTGCATTTTGTTGTGTAGAGCATTACGTGTGCGTCTCTCTTCCTTATGTAACCCCACGGGGAGGAACTGGCTGGCTGTCTTGAACCCACAAGTAGCCACCAGCTGTTAGGGGAGTCGCCCGTCTGGACTGCTGTCACACGGCTGTACTCAACATACCGTTGTTTGGGCTGGATTTAGGAATCTTATAGGAATATTACTAATTGGGGGGTTAAACATATAACAAAGGGGCTGAAAAGGGGGCTTGGGACAGAAAGAAAAGCTTTGGGCTCCGGTGTCCTTTGGCCAGGATCTGGGCTTGTGGGGTGAAGCCACTCTGCAGGGGTCACCTTTGTCATCCACATCACAGGCGAGAAGCCCTACGAATGCCACGTCTGCCACGCACGCTTCACCCAGAGTGGCACCATGAAGACACACGTCCTGCAGAAGCACAGCGAGAACGTCCCCAAATACCAGTGTCCGCACTGTGCCACCATCATTGCGAGGAAGAGCGACCTGCGTGAGTGTCGGCTTAGCACACTGCCTCTGACTCCAGCGTCTGTGGGCTCCTTGGGGTCCCGCCCTGGGCCAGATTCCGGGGACCTCGAGGACCTGCAGCCCAGCCTGGGGATCTGCGCCGGGAAGACTTTTCTTCCGCAGGTCCTGTGGTGCCATCTGGTGGCGGGATGTCATCAGTGCACTGTCACAGCTTGTTCTCAGGGGCATGCGCAGGACACGCGATGAGTTCTCGTGGCATTTCAGCTCATAGAGCACTTCCAGGGCTGTTATTTTAGTCCTATCTTGAGCCTGTTTTTACAGATGATGGAGCTGGGGCTCAGAGACCCGGGCTGAACTGCACCGGAGTCCTGTGACAGGGTGCCAGGGGGTGGCCTGGCTGCGGGTTCTGTTCTCCGTGACATTCAGCAAAGTGCTCTCCAGCCCTTGCTGGGATCCTAAGTGGCGCTGGAAGCTGAGGGTCTGAAAGTAAGAGCCTGGACAGTTCTCTCCGTAAAACTCACTTTGTGTCATGCCTGTGACACGAGATCCACGCTGTGACGTGTCCGCCCTCCTAGTGGAGCAGGAGCGGGCCTCACTGTGTGCGACTCTGATGCCAGACGCTGGAGCCTGGGCTCCGTCCGCCTGCAGCGAAAGCAGCCGGGATTTAGCCGTGGGCAGCAAGGGGGGAAGTGAGTGAACCGGCCTCTCTCCTTTGTTTCAGGGTCCCTGGCCTCCTGTTTCCCATGATCTTTTTTTCTCTTCAAAATACATAACCCTGTATTGCTCAAAACATGTTAGCAAAAATACAGAGTGACCAGTTTGCCCAGAGAAATTCTGGAGATGAGATGCTCTGTTTTGAAAACATCTCTGAAAGGGTAAAGATGAAGCCTGAGCTTTATTTTTCATCTGGAGCATTCTGTCAGTGTTACTATAGCTACGAGCGTGCCGCACACACAGCGTCTGTAGGGCACGAGGGGCAGAGCCTGTGGCTCAGGAGGGAAACGAGACTTTTGTGACACTGTAGCGAAGAGATACAGGTCATCTCCCACCCAGTGCGTGGCACTGCGTGTGCCCCAGTCTGGTGCTTTGTGAACAAGCCTGTCGTCACCAGGTGAGAAGTCAGGCTCTGTAAATGACCGAGGCAGCGTGTCCAGGCCCCACCCCCACCAGCAGTTGTCAGTTTTCATTTAGCCTCTTAACACAGAGGATCTCAAAACTGCCATGCAGAGCCCGGCCCCATGGCATAGTGGGTAAGTCCACGTGCTCCACTTTGGCAGCCTGGGGTTCGCAGGTTCAGATCCCTGGTGCAGACCTCCACCTCATCAAGCCATGCTGTGGAGGCATCCCACATACAAAATAGAGGAAGATTGGCACAGATGTTAGCTCAGGGACAATCTTCCTCACCAAAAAAAAAAAAAAAAAAAAAAAAAAAAACCCTGCCATGCTTTACACTCAGTTGAGCAGAAATTATCCTAGAGCAGATCCAGTCAGACCTTACTGCATGTCTCAGGTCAGTTATGATGTAGGAAAAAACAGGGCATTGACTTCTAACATCTGGACTTTTTTAAAAGTTAAAATACAGAAGTTATATCTTTTTATGTAAAACCAGCTTAACAATATCCTAAAAATCCACCCACACCATGATAAGGTTCTCAAAGTGCTTTGTTAAGTGACCGTGTCAGGTCCAATCGGCCCTGCCTTACGTAACAGTTAACTCCATATGGCAAGGGCGTTAGAATGGGGGTCAGTGTGCTGTTCGTTTGGAGCAGTGGTTCTCAACTAGGAATGGCGTTACCCCCGGAGACGTGTGGCCATTTCTGGAGGCATTTGGTTGTCAGAACTAGGGAGGAAAGGGCGCTATTGGCCGCTGGCGGGTGGAGGCCAGAGATGCGCTAAACCTCCCCCAGTGCACGGGAGAGCCCACCCCGCTCTGCCCAAGAAGGAGTCAGCCGGCCCGTGTTAACAGTGCCGAGGTTCAGAAACGCTGACCTAGAGGGCGGGGGCCTCGGCTTCACAGGAAATCACCCTCTTCCCGCATGTGACGTGCTGTGGCTGTTTCAGGGGTCCACCTGCGCAACCTGCACACTTACAAAGCCACGGAGATGAAGTGCCGCCACTGTTCTGCCGTCTTCCACGAACGCTACGCCCTCATTCAGCACCAGAAGACCCACAAGAACGAGAAGAGGTTCCAGTGCAAGCACTGCAGTTACTCCTGCAAGCAGGTGCCGTGCTGGGTCCATGTGGGGAGGCGGGAGGCGGCGGAATACGGAAGAAGGGAGGGTGGTGGCGGGATTTTCTGTTGCTTTGAAAACACTGGGAAGAAGCCATGCTTTAATAAAAGAGACTGTTCGGAAGAGCCAGAAGGCAGTGTGAGCCAATGGTTTACAACCACCCTTCCTAAAGGATGGTTCACAGAGCCCTCGAGACCAGTCAGGGCGATAGGGTCAGAACAGCTGTCATAATAAGGCTGAGGCATCACTTGTTCTTTGTGCTGTTAGCGTTGGCACCGACGGTGCAGAGGCCGCAGGGATGCCTCAGTGCAGTCAAAGCAGTGACACCAAACAGGATGGTCACCATGTCACCTTAGTGCACTGGCAGCAAAAATAAGGGGCAGTTTTGCTTTAGGATGTCCTTGATGAGGCCAGCCCAGTAGCATAGTTTGTAGGTTCACGCGCTCTGCTTCAGCAGCCCGAGGTTCATGGGTTCAGATCCTGGGCACGGACCTAGCACCACTCGTCAGGCTGTGCTGTGGCGACATCCCACATAAAGTAGAGGAAGCTGGGCACGGATGTTAGCTCAGGGCCAGTCTTCCTCACACACACACACAAAATGTCCCTCACGAAGCATCAAAAGTTATTAAATTTATTCAGTCTTGTCCCTGAAAACTCGCCTTTCTAAGATTCTGCGTGATGAGCTGGGAAGCTGGCATCGAGCCCGCTGCAGTCTGCCAGCCCCCCGGTTCTCTGGAGGAAAGTGGGGGTTTGAGTTACCAGCTCAACTAGCTGCTTTCTCATGAACCACCATCTTTACTTGAAAGAACAAGAGACAGACAACCTCTGCCTTTCAGTTGTTGTGTATGTGGCAGACCTTTTCCTGAAAGTAAGTGAAGTGACCCTGTCACTTCCAGGAAAACATGTGTTGCTGTGGGTACAATTTCAGCTTTCAAGAGGAGGTGAGAATTAGAATTTTGGAAAACTTCTGTCTCCCACTGCGAGCTTGGCGGCTTCCTGGTACTTGAAGACTTTTCTAACGAGATTGGAGTGATTCTAAGACTGGTTTTTTCTGAAGAATGATGAAATGTGTCAACACTTAGAAACTCTGTAACTCAGTAAACTGATGGTTTCCAAATGATCAATTGATTATTTTACAAAATCATGCTTGGGTAAAAGACCCATTCAAAGGAAAAGATAAATGAACAGATTTTAATGTAACAGAGTACAAAAAGTTCATTGTTGTGGTTTCAGATTTATATTTTAACCAATTTTTAAGAAATTACCACTTGTTGAGTTTTGGTGTAATATCAGAGAAGAATGTCCACAATTATTTGAAAAAATCATTAAAATTCTGCTCCCTTTTCCAACCACATATCTTTGAGAGAAGATTTTCTTCATCTGTTTCAACCACAGCGACATCCCCAGCAGACTGAAGGCAGAAGCTGGGATGAGAACCCAGCCGTGTACAAGTTTGTCTGTAGACGGCCAGTCCGTGCTGCTGCCCTAGCAGTGGGTGTTTGCTATGATTTTTCTTAATTGCATGCTCATCTTTGGAGAGGGAGAAAAAAAAAGCATACAAAAATAATGTCTAATACTGAAAACTTCCCGTAAATAGCTAAGCTGTTTGTTTTCTTCCTCTTCCCTCCTAGGAACGGCACCTGACGGTTCACACGCGCACCCACACTGGAGAGAAGCCGTTTGCCTGCCTTTCCTGCAATAAGTGTTTCCGACAGAAGCAGCTTCTAAACGTTCACTTCAAGAAGCACCATGACACAGATTTCATCCCAACTGTCTACGAATGCCCCAAGTGTGGCAGAGGCTTTTCTCGCTGGGTAAGCTCACTTCTGTCATGTGATGGCTCCTGGAGGAGGTCCCTCTGTCTCCCGGTGTCGCCCTCGGGAGTCTAAACCTGATGATAGGAGCTCGCCAGGACTTCACGTGCCGGAGGGAAGGGAAAGTGGTTATTAGTTTTTTGGAGTCACAAAACTCTTGAGAATCTTGTAAAAGTGTGGTCTCCCCTTCTGTGCAAAAAGACAATCCTACAACCAAAATCTTGTCGATAGTTTTGGGATGTCTCAGACTCCCCGAATTCTAGAGAACCCCTGCTTTCAGTGTAACATTTCAAAATTGTCCCCGTGAGTTAGATTGAGGCTCCTTCACAGAGAGAACGCAATTGTCAGAACATTTTCTGGACATTTTTAGAAAGTGCTGTTGGTACTGTGCTGAGAAATACGTTTCCTCTTCAATTTTGTTCTTTTTGGGGTGTTAGTTACCGATTGCTGCGTAACAAATTACCTCAAAACTTAGTGGCTTAAAACAACCAACACTTATTGTCTCACATTTTCTGTGGGTCAGGAACGTGGCTGTGGCTCGGCTGGGCAGCCCTGGCTCAGCGTCTCTCCTGAGGTGCAGGCAGGGCATCGCCGCGGCTGCATCACTGAGGGCTCGACTAGGGCAGGAGGACCCATTTCCAAGATGGCGCCCTCACATGGCAGTGGGCAGGGGCCCCAGTTCCTCACCACATGGACCTCTCCATTGGGTTACTCCCGTGTCCTCATAACCCAGAGCAAGTAAGAGAGAGCAAGGAGCAAGCCACGGTGCCTTTTGTCACCTCATCTTAAAAGTGACACAACATTACTTCTATCCATTAGAAACGAATCCCAAAGTCCAGCCCACACTCAAGGGCTTTCTTTTGAAAGGAAGAGTGTCAGAGAATTTATGGACGTTTTCCAACCCCCACAGATGGTCAGCCAGATCCTGGACAGTGTGGGCTCCGGTCTGACTTGATAAGAGTTTTGAATGATCTGAGGTTGAGTACTTTTGTGGAAAAAACTACCTTTTCTCTGAAAAGGAAATAGTAGGGTAATTGTGTTTTTCTGGGTAGCAGAGTGGAATAATTCTGGAGTATTAATGCTATTAGTTCAAAATACCAAATAGGAGTGGTGGCAACACTCCAGAAACAGTGTCAGTCACGCTGAGTTAAAGTTGTGAAGAAACTGCTCTTCGGCGTGAGAAACAAGAAAGCAGAGGAAAGAGCGGGTCAGCTCAGAGATTCCCTCGGAGCGTAAAATCAGAAGTTTTGAAACTTTTTCTTCCATTCAAGAAAGCATATTTGGACTTGCACCTAGAATATATAAAGAACTCCTACAACTCAATAGTGAAAAGACATAGACCCAATTAAAGACAGGCAAAGGATCTGAGTAGGCATTTCTCCAAAGAAGATAAACCAGTGGCCAAGAGGCTTGTGAAAGGATGCTCGGCGTCATCAGTCACTAGGGACGTCGGCATAAAAACCACAGAGAGATAGGACGTGAGGGCATCTGGCTGCAACAGCTGTCTCCCCGTTGATCGCCCGGGCTGGTTTGGCTGATCTGTCTGGCCAGGCGGGTGTCCTTTCCACCACCCTGTGTGCTTCCTTCCAGAAGCTGCACGCTTGGTCCAAGAGGACGACCTTCCCCGACAGGAGGACCGTTCTTCGCTCAAGGGTATAAGTCGCTGCGCTGCCCTGCTAGAACCTCCGAACAAGCTCTCAGGGTCCATTAGTAGGAGAACGTAGGGGACAAACTTCCAAGACTCCAGACGCGTCCAGATGGGGCGCTGCATGGGGCAGTCTGCCTTTCTTCAAAAAAAAAAAATCACAGTGAGCTGCCTGTGGGACCAGCCATGAGGACGGCTGCAATTCAAGAAGACAGATAATAAAAGATGTGGAAAAATTAGCACCCTCCGCCTTTGCTGGTGGTATGTTAAAATAGTGAAGCCGCCTTGGAAGACAATCTGGCAGGTCCTCAAAAAGTTCAGCATAAAGTTACCATATGACCCAGCGGTTCTGCTCCGAGGCACGTACCCCAAAGGACTGAAAACATAGAACCACACAAAAACTTATACACAAACATTCACAGCAGCATCCTTCTAACAGCCAAAAAGTGGAAACCACCCAGTGTCCATCAACTGATGAACAGATCAGATATGGGAAATCCCTTCAGTGGGATGTTAGCCAGAAAAGGGAGTGAAGTGCGGGCACGTGCCGCACCGTGGGCGAACCTTGAGGGAGCCGGGCGGCCGCATAGCATCTGACTCCATTTGTGTGAAATGTCCAGAGCAGGCAATTCAGGGAGACCGAGAGTAGACAGGGGTTGCCAGGAGCCAGAGGAGGGGGGCATGCAGAGTGACTGTTAAGGGTATAGGATTTCTCTTTGAAATATTCTAAAATTGATTGTGATGATGGTTGCATAATTCTTTGAAGAAACTAGAAACCACTAAATTATAAACTTAAATGGACAAATCACATGGTGTGTGAATTGTATCTCAATAAAGCTGTCTAAAAAATAAATGAAAGGAACTCCCCGGTTCCGGTTCTGCGTGTAAGGAGCCCGGAAGTCCTCGCTCCATCCTAACAAGTAAAAAGCTGGACAGACTGAGAAATCGATTGCTCTTCTAGGATCTGTAAGAGAGGGGAGGGTACAGGGCAAACCATGCCCCCAGGGTTGGAGAGACAGACAGGTGAATACAGGGCGTCACGGCTTGCCTGGGCAGGCACTCACAAGCAGAAAAACTGCGCCGGTGGGAAAACCTGGCCTGTAATTGATGAATTGCTGGAGGCTCAGAGTGGACACCTACAGAGAGTTGAAAACTAGAGAGGGATCTGCGTAGGGGGCCCCCCGACAATGTTATGTTTTACTACCAGGAGTTCAACCAGGTTCCCACAGTGAATGTCTAAAAAAATCCCCTTCCGCGTGGGGAGGGGGAAGAGAACCGTTCTGAGACCCCCCCCCCGGAGCCCTCTATTCTGAACAAGGCTGCACACTCCTTAACCAGAGCCTACGCTGATCATCAGAGCCTAGCTGAGCCGGGAAGGGAAATAGCCGACTCCAGCCCACTCCAGCCTTCCTGTCCCACCTAAGGGGGGAGGAAAAAGAAACTGAGGAACATGGTGAAGCTCATAGTGCAGAGGCGCAGACTGATTACAACCCTGAGACCTTCTCACAGGGCTGCAGATGCTCCCCTCCCCCACCTCACCACCGCGTCACTAGAGGCCCCCCGCACCAGTTCCTTTTACCTCGTCCATCGTGCCCAGGTAGCAGGAAAAAATAACAAGGCAACCCAAAAGGCGAAAACCACAATCGGAAGAGACAGAGCAAGCCTCAGAACCAGACACGGCAGGGATGTTGGAATTATCAGACCTGGAATTTAAAATGGCCATGATTAGTGTGCTAAGGGCCCTAATGGGTAAAGCAGACAGATAAAGACAGATAAAGACGCGAGAGCAGACGGGCAATGTCAGGAGAGATGGAGATCTTAAGAAAGAACCAAAAGAAATGCTAGAGATAAAAAACACTGTGACGGAAGTGAAGAGTGCTCTGATGAACAAAATCAAAGAAGATCTAAATAAACGGAGAGAGGTTCCGCGTTCGTGGGTGAGAATACTCAATACCGTCACGATGTCAGCTCTCCCCAGCTTGATCTGTAGATTCAGCGCGGTCCCTGTCAGATTTCAGCAAGCTGTTTTGGGGACGTCGATCGACACACTGATTCTGAAGTTCGTATAGAGAGGCAGAAGACCCAGAGTAGCCGACACGACGTGGAAGGAGAACAAAGTTGGAGAACTGACAGCACTCAGTGTCAAGGCTTACTGTAAGCCTCTAGTGATCGAGACGGAGTGCTATTGGTGAAAGAACGAATTGTTCAGTAGAACAGGATAGAAAGCCCAGAGGTAACCCCCGTCAATATAGTTAGCTGATCTTTGACAAAGCAGCAAAGGCAACACAATGGAAAAAAGAGACTCTTTTTAACAGCTGGCGCTGGAACCATTGGACATCCAAAGAAAAAGAAAAAAAAGGAGCTAGACACAGACCTTACACCCTTCAAAAAACCTAGCTCAAAATGGATCACAGACCTAAGGGTAAAATTCAAAGCCGTAGAACTCCTACAAGCTAAACAGGAGGAAACGTAGATGGCCTTGGGCATGGTGGTGCCTTTTTAGATAAAACATCAAAGACGGGATCCATGGAAGAAATAATTGATAAGCTGGGCCTCATTAAAATTACGGGCTTCTGCTCTGTGAAAGACAGTGTCAACAGAATGAGAAGAAAAACCACAGACTGGGAGAAAATATTTGCAAAAGTCACATCTGATAAAGAACTGTTATCCAAAAAAATACAAAGAACTGTTAAAACGCAACAATAAGAAGACAGCCGGATTAAAACATGGGCCAAAGACTTTACCAGACACCTCAGCCAACAAGATATATAGATGGCAAATAAACATGAAAAATTGTTCCATATTGTCTGTCGCCAGGGAAACGCAAACTGAAACAACAGTGCGGTACCACCACACTCCTATTGGGATGGTCAAAATGCAGCACGCTGACGCCGCTACGTGCTGGCGGGGATGTGGAGCAACAGGCGCTCTCGTTCCATGCTGCTGGGGATGCGAAATGGCGCAGCCGCTCTAAAACACAGTTTGGCAGTTTCTTATTAAGCTGAATAGACTCTTAGCATCCAGTGTAGCGATCAAGCTCTTTGGTGTTTACCCAAAGGAGCTGAAAGCTCACGTCCACACAGAAACCTGCCCACGGATACTTATGGCAGCTTTATTCATAACTGCCAAAACTTGGAAGCGAGCAAGATGTCCTTCAGTAGATGGGTGGAGATTGTGATACACCTAGACAATGGAGTATTATTCAGCACTGAAAAGAAAGGAGCTGTCAAGTCACGAAAAGACGTGGAGGAACCTTAAATGCATATCACTAAGTGGAAGACACGGATCTGAAAGGCCACGTGCTGTATGGTTCCAACTGAATGGCATTCTGGGAAAAGCAAAACTAAGGGGACGGTAAAAAGGTCAGTGGTTGCCAGGGGCTGGGGTGGGGAGAAGGATGACTAGGCTGTGGTGGGGATGTTGATAGTGGGGGAGGCTGCGCCTGTGGGGGCAGGGGCTTGTGGGAAATCTCTACCTCCCTCTCAATTTTGCCGTGAACCTAAAACTTGTCTTAAAAAGTCTTTAAAAATAAATAAAGAAAGAAATAGATGAAAGCATATCTGGATATTTGAATCCAGTTTAACTTTTAAAAAGTAGATTATTCGCAAACTTCTGCTCTTTAACACTCGGTCGTCACAGTGTGTCTCCGTATGGGAATGTCACAAGTCAGGCCCCGTTCGCTCCGGGAAGGACCCTGCTCCCTGTTCAGAATGTTGGCTTCCTCCTCTCTTGAGAAACGTTTCTCTGACACAAAAGTTTGTCGTATTACTTTGCCCTGTGAGTCCTAAATAGCCGAAATGTCCTGTAAGTTTTCTTAAAACCTTAATCCTCTTTTATAGGCTGGACATGGTTTTGTTTGGTTAGTTCCAAAACTGTCATCCATTGTCGTCAACCGTGAGGCTCGTGAAGTTATAGGTAGATGTGTGTGTGTGTAGACATATACGCAATTTGCTGGGGAAGGAACCGTTGCTTTTATCATATTTACAAAGGAATTCTTGACCCCAAAAGGCTTCGTTCATCCACAACCATCATATAAACCAGGGGCTGGCAAACTTGTCCTATAAAGGGCCAGATAGTATTTCAGCTTCACTGGCCGGAGAGTTTCTGCCCGAGCTGCTCAAGTCCGTCTCAAAAACTGACTTAGACGCAGAATTCGTGCATGATGTGGCCGTGTTCCCAAAAACTTGCTTTACAAAAACAATGGGCAGGCCAGCTCTGGCCCTCAGGCCACAGTCCGCCAGCCCTTGTGGATGAGCATAAAATGGAAGAAATTTAAATAACCCGAGAGATTTCCCCTCCACTTAAACGTGAATCCTTCCCCCTTTCTCCGTAAGCAGGACGGTCCTGCTGACGCCACACTCGCGTCGAAACGGAAACTGGATGGCATGTTTACATAATCAGCCAATTTAATGACATGTCACAGCATCTTACTTTTGCCTATGAACTTTTCGATTAGTGAAAATGTTCTAACTTATTTTAATAAGTTTAAAAAATAGGCCAAGACTTTAACAGACCCCTCAGCCAAGATGCTGTGTTCTTCCATGGGAATGTATCGCTGGTAGGCTTGCCTGGGAAATCGCGAGCTTCTCTTTGAATTCTGAATGTTGTGTGCAGTTTTAATAACTGTGCATAGTAGGTCAGCAGAGAAACCGGCCTGGCAGTAAAATCTGTGTGGTATGTTACTGATTTCCGTATTTCTGTTTTAACATCAATTCTCACTTTAGGGAGTAGATGCATTCTAGGAAAATAGCTTTGGTCTTCTCGTTGACTTCTATTATTATAAAACAGGGTTAAAAATAAACTAGCTTTTGGCTAGACCCAAACACAACAGAGGGGCTCACCTTTAAACAGTTCTCTTTGTTGTACAGGATGGTAAAGGTCAGCGCTGCCCGTGTCCCGGCACCCGCCTCCGCTCCGTGCGCTTTAAATCGCGTTCCTCCGGCGATGCCAACTTGGACTTTCACCATGTGCTCTCTCCTCTCCTCGACAGACTAACATGCGAAAACACTCGGAGAAGTGTGAACCGGGGCAAGAAAAGTCGGCCACCTCGGGAGAAGGACGAAGAATGAGAAGGAGAAAGCCGGCTGTCCCGAAGGAGGCGGGAAAGGAAGACGGTACCTCTTTTTAAACGAACTGGGTTTTAATTTGACAGTGATTTTCTTGGTATGACTTTGCCGGGGTGCTGAGCGTTACTGTGCAGGGGACGCGCCCAGAGCCCCTAAGTGCCAGACCCCAAAGGTGCCTGATCCCCACAGCTCTGCTGCACTTCCTGCCACTGTGGGCAGGTCTCGAGCTTCCTTTCGCCTGGTTTGGTTATCAGTGACGTGGGTGGTGACTCACCCACCGCTCAGAGCCCCCCCCCCCATCACACGGGTTTGGCGGGGCGGAGTGACCGACATGCATGCTCCTGCCCCCCTTGCCCTCAAGGCGCTCATCAGTCGTGCTGGTGGGCTGTGGCGGGAGCCTGGTGGGACGCTGGGCGCCGAGTTCGTGTCCTAGGGCTGCTGCAGCAGACGAGCACAAACTGAGTGGTTTAGGACAACATGGGTTTATTCTCTCACAGCTCTGGAGGCTGGAATTCCTAAATCAAGGCATCGGCCCTCTCTGCTGGCTCTAAGGGAGTGTCCTTCCTGGCCTCTCCCAGTTTCTGGTGGCTCCATGCGTCCCTTGGCTTGTGGCTGCGTCACCCCAGTCTGTGTGTCCATGGTCACATGGCTTCTCCGTGGTGTCTGTGTCTCTCCTCTTCTGTCTCTTAGACAGACACTTGTCATTGGAGTTAGGGCCTGCCTGGAAAATCCAGGGTGATCTCATCTCGAGATCCTTAACTTAACTATGGCTTCAAAGACCCTTGTGTCAAATGAGGTCACAGTCACAGGCTCGGGGCGTTAGGATATGGACATATCTTTTTAGGGGCCACTGTTCAACCCACTGCAGGCATCGCTGCTTTCTCCTCTGGCCTCAAGGGGCCCCTGGCAGAGCTGCCGGCATGAAGTCCACGTTCCAGAAGGGCACAGACATGAAAGCTCTTGTAGGTTTAAAAGTCAGTGATGATGAAGCTGGACGTATTAAAACATTTCCCATATTTTACATGGTCGGCTCTTGCACCCTAAGCGAAGTGTGAACTGAGACAAGTAACCGGCTTATGTTAGCGAAAAATACAACTTAATTTGCCTTTCAGGGTTTTTTTAAAGCTGTATTATCCAGATAGTTGTCTCACTTCTGCTTGTGCCGTGCTGGGGGGTCAGCGCATGTGCCCTGCCCGTTCACTGGCAGATACAGCCCTGCACTTCCCATCCAGCTCGTTTCCTTTTCATCCCTGAGAACTGGGTCTTAGTGCCGTCCCCTCTCCCCCGCAAAACATGCCTCAAGGAACCACCAGCAGAAATATCTTCAGGCAACTTTGAACTAACGAGGGGTAAAAAGCATCCTTAAGTGGGCCCGTCGTCTCCCATCCCAGTGGGCAGGCAATCAAGTTCCGTGCTGGGCTTGGGAGGTAATTTGGAAAATGGGCAGGGCGTTGAATGTGGGTAGATCTCCCGTGATCTTCTGTTTTTAACCTCCCGGAGTTGGGCTGACTGTTTCAAAGCTGCTGGGGCCGTGGGCACGGATGCTTTTGGATCTGGGTGTGGCTCACGGGACCCAGGACAAGGCTTGACCCGAACTGACTCCATGTATGTGGATCGGCCCAAGGGACAGATCCTCTGCGAGCAGCTGTTTTCATTTCATCGGGGTCATTCCGTGGGCTCTGAAACAAGACTTGTGTGAGCATCCCCACTCTCTACAGTCTGTAGGACCCACATTCGCTCTACAGCTGTGGTTCTAAACCCGGGGGCAGTTTGGCCCCCCAGGGACATGTGGCGATGTCTGGAGACATTTTTTGTCGTCACAGCTGAGGAGGAGCTTCTACTGGCATCCGGCGGGTGGAGGCCGAGGCTGAACATCCTCCAGTGCTCGAGACGGCCCAGCCACAGAGCGTGCAGCCCTAAGTCTGCAGAGCTGAGCTCGGGAAACTCTGACTTAGAGCAGAGAGTCGAGAGCAGCGTATTTGTCCTATAAATGGAAAGGTCGTTTTTTAAAATGTTCGCTGCTGTGTTAAAAATTGTGGTTGTTTCCGAAATATCTTTGCACTGACTTCTTGGCTTTGTTTTAAATCTGCCAACCCTGTGCCTTTCCCCCAAGAAGCTGCTGCTGAGGAGGCTTCCGCTGCGCAGGGAGGACAGTCCCCAGGAGAGGCGGCTCCCGTCGAGCCCGGAGAAACCACGGCGGGAACCGAGGACCTGGACGAAGACGTGACCTGCGAGATGATCCTGGACATGATGGACAAGCTGTAGAGATGCAAGTTTCGTTTTGATGGCGCTTAACTCTTAATGCAGGTTAGAAGTTTCAGCATCTTCTTTGAATTGTTTCTTTGAAACAATTAGGTTCATGACAAGGGATGGTCACAATTTTTCCAAAGTTCGAGGGAATGCCTAGAATTATTTACCTATTTTTTGACTGAATATTTCAAAAAACATTGCAAGTATTTTACAAAAGGCCCAAATCTTGAATTGGAGGATAAAACCTCAAACCTATGAATTTGTTCCCCTGCTGTTGGCAAGATGGCCCCCAATAACCAGCAGTGATTTTTGGATCATAATTATCTCGATTGCGGTGTAGACTATTTAGTGCTTCAGCAAACAGGCAAAGCCAGGAACCTTTTTAGTGAATTGTACACACCCATGATTTTTCTAATATTGTGATTTTAAAACATTAAAGACTAATTTCGTATCCTTTTGTATACAAATGAATTTTCCATAAAATTTAAAGCTATCATAATACTTTTAATTACAGTGGTTCTAAATTCAACAAAAAAAGAAATTAATGCTATTTTAAAAAACTGAGTAGAAAAATGAAAAACTCTAGATTAGACTAGAAAATGTCACCCAATATATTTTACTTTGGTATACGCGCAAGGTCCACTTTGAGATTTCACCTTCTGTCTTCGCTGTCCCTCGGCAGGCGTGAGCCCCCGCTTGCATTGCATTATTGCTGCAGTCAGTCCATCACCTGTTGCTTTGCTCAAACTGCTTTGTTTATAGATTTTAAATAATTGGCAGAGTGAGAAAAACATAAAAACCTGATAATGAAAGTGTAAAGAATTTGTGCTTTTTTATAACACCCTATAATGAGTATTTCCCTTTTCCAGTTGGAGAGCATTTTCCTGCCTTCGAGAAGCACATGAAATGTCCCTTTGGTACTGAAAATGAATTAGTGCCTGTCTTTGTAATGAGTCCAATTTTTTTCTTAGCTCAGCAGCTGCTTTTGCTGTGAACTTTTCTCCCCATATTTTAAAATCATTCATAGGTCCTAAATCCAAATTCTTTTTTTCCAGCTTCATTGAGGTATAGTGGACAAATAACGTTGTAAGATATTTGAAGCGTCCATTGTGATGACTTCACATATATGTTGTGAAAGGATTCCTCCATCTAGTTAACTGATTTCAAACTCTTAAAGTGCTGATGTGTTGTTAAGATAACCCAAGTCCAGAAGCCCTGTGTTAGGTAAACGTGTGCAAGCCGCTTCCCAGCAGGCAGGGCGTTCTGTGCTTTTCGTGAGAGCAAATTAATTGAATTCACATGATAAGACTTAAATTCTGTGGTCTCTGGTCTGCTGTCATTGTGACTATTTGCATTTTTGTAATAGTTTCTTATTCTTTGACTTGTTTAAAGATGTTTACCTCAATAAAATGAAATGACTTAAAATGGCTCTCTTTGTTAGACGTGAATATGGTTCTGAAAAACGTCCTCTTCGCCTGTGAGCGTGTGGGGAAACTGGAACCCTTGTGCCTGTGGGTGGGAATGGAAAACGGTGCAGCTGCTGCGGACAACAGTATGGCGGTGCTTCAAACAATTACAAATAGACTGACTGTTTGGTCTGGTTATATACCCCAAAGAACTGAAAGCAGGTCTCAAAGAGAGAGCTTATATCCATGTTCATATCAGCATTGTTCACAGTGGCCAAAATGGAAGCAACCCAAGTGTCCACTGATGGATGAGTGGGTAAACAAAATGTGTTTAGACCTACACGGGAATATTATTCAGCCTTAAAAAAGGAAGGAAATTCTGACACATGCTACAACATGGATGAACTTCAAGGGTATTACGCTAAGTGAAATAAGCCAGTCACAAAAGGACAGATTCTGTATGATCCCACTGATACCAGGTCCCGAGAGCAGTCAGATTCCTAGAGCCAGAGAGCAGAAGGGGGGTTGGATGAGGGAGCGAATGGAGAGTTAGTGTTTAATGGGGACTGAGTTTCAGTTTGGGAAGATGAAAAGAGTTCTGGAGAATATACTTCACACTGCTGATTTGTATACTTCAAAATGGTTAAGATGGCAAATTTTATATTATGCATTTTCCTACGATTAAAAATTAAAGTGGAGGGGTCAGCCCCATGGCCGAGTGGTTGAGTTCTCACACTCTGCTTCAGTGGCCCAGGGTTTCGCTGGTTTGGATCCTGGGTACAGACGTGGCACCGCTCATCAGGCCAGGCTGAGGCAGCGTCCCACATGGCAGAGCCAGAGGCACTCACAACTAGAATACGCAACTATATACTGGGGGGCTTTGGGGAGAAGAAGAAAAAAATAGTTTAAAAAAAAATTAAGGGGGGGGTGGCCCAGTGGCACAGTGGTTAAGTTCCCGTACTTCTCTTTGGTGGCCCGGGGTTCACCGGTTCAGATCCCAGGCGTGGACATATGCACTGCTTGACATGCCAGGCTGTGGCAGGTGTCCCACATATAAAGTAGAGGAAGATGGGCATGGATGTTAGCTCAGGGCTAATCTTCCTCAAAAAAAAAAAAATTAAGGAGCCGGCACAGTGGTGTGGTGGTTGGGTTCTTGTACTCCGCTTCGGTGGCCCAGGGTTTGAGGGTTCAGATCCAAGATGTGGCCTGTCAAACCATGCTGTGGCGGCATCCCACATACAAAATAGAGGAAGATTGGCACAGATGTTAGCTCAGGAACAATCTTCCTCACCAAAAAGAAAAAAAAAATTGAAAAAAACGTGTTTGAAAATGCAAGCCCAGTTGGTATCTAAACACCATCAAAAACTCCTCAGAAAGTCTTGTTTAAGTAATTTGCAGCGTTTTGCATGTACCGTGTCGGGTGAGATATCGTGTAGAGCTACGTTGAGCTGGTAGGCTTTGATTCAATTATGAGCCCAGACGCCTGGACCGCAGGGGAGCCTCGGCTGTTCCCAGAGCGCGTTTGATTCCTGTGGTAGCAGTGACGCTAGTCACCAGGAGGGGGCAGTCGTCTCTGTCTTTTCCAACAGGGAGACAGCCTTCAGCTCCTCGAGACTGATGAGAAGGAAGCTACAGCAGTCTTGGCGATTCATTTAATCAGTTTGAACCGTGCAGAACGGTAAATAAAAAGTGGTTTGTCTTTAAGAGCAGCAGGAGGATTTCTCGCCCTTGAGGCTGCTGAGTAAGAAGGAGGCCTTTGCAAACCTGGCGGTGAGGACGCTGCCTGGCTCCGGGGTTTGCTGCCGGGGGCGGGCGCCGCCTTGGGTCACTTTAGCTCAAAACAGTTCTGAGATCCAGCAGGAAACCGTTCTGGAATGCACACCTCTTGCACAACCTAACGTCTTTGTTTTGGGGGAAGGGTGTTTAAACTACAGCATTGTTTGACAACAGTTTTACTATGTAAAGGATGCTTTTTAAACAAGCCCACGACTGGGCAGAGGCCGTTGTTGGAGGTCAGCCACTGAGAGGGTCGGCTGCTGCGGGGGCCGTGGTCCTGAGGACACGTGGGCGGGCTCTGCCTACCTTTGAGGATGGCAAGAGTGTCTTCTTTTCCAGATATTATTTCTGGTATAAATGTTATATTTTTGATACCTGTTGATAACCTTACTGAATAGGAATACATTTATCCCTGTGCATGTATTCTTTGTGACTGTCAGGCATTGACGGGCGGTGTTATTGATGCTTAAACATGTTCAATTAAAGCCTTAGCCCATTTGGCTTAACTTACCGACTATTTCTACATTCCCCATCTTTTTATCGCAGTTTACTGTCAGCTGAGTGTATCAGATAAAACACAGATTTTGGGTGGCAGCCTCACTTGCGATGCTCCCTCAGCAGCTTCTGTATCCTTTCCAAAGCATAGTTGTGATCACGAACCGCATCTCTATAAACCATTGTCTTTTGTGGTACGCGCAGGTGGGGACTTCCGAAGACACAGATGCTCATTTTTATGAACAGTTTCGGATAGAGTGCCACACAGGACACTCACCGTGCTTGTGGAGACAAAAAATGCACTTAAAAAAAAAAAAAAACCTCCCGATTGAGCCACCGTGGCTGGATGCCGGCCACAGGGACCTGTAGGAAGACTGTGGGCAGCTCTGGGGGTGGACGTTCCTCTTAGGGGCAGCCGAGGGAGCTGCAGCACCTCGTGGCTGCCGTCTCCTGTGAGTGAAGTGTGAGCGCTTGTGTCTGAGTCCAAAGGTTGCCGATTAAAAGACTCATCCTGATCATTATTGTAATCACAGCCCAAGGCCAGAGCTATCAGAATCAGGAAAGCAATAATGGAAAACAGCGAGCCAGACCATGAATTATGTTACTTGAAATCAATCACTACATTGACAGAGAAAGCTGTGTTTAACCTCTTCCGAGGGTGCCCTGTCCCTTAATCACCGTTCAGAAACTTTAAACACCTACTTTTTTGTGGACAGAAGCTCGTGTGGCATTTCAAAGCCTGAGAACCGCTTTCCCCTCTAAAAACGAGTCACGTGCTCGTAGCATTGACATTCTCTGTGAATACTGACGAAACAATTTTTAAACGGATTCTAAGATTTCTCTATTGGATAAAAACAGCCGTTTTGTCAGTTAAATAATTTGTCTTCAGCAGGAAAAAAAAAAGGTTTCATTACACAGCAGGCCCCGGTTGGCTACTGGCAGAGGATTTACATACAACTGCCCCCTGGGAGTTCAGAACTCGGTTGTAAATGGAAGACAGGAGCAAATATGCTTTTTCTGTCCCCGTCACAGCGTGTTGTTAACTAGCCTGCTGTCCTCATGCCAATGCCCTAGCGAAAAGCTAATGTGTGAAAGTAGGCGTCTTTCAGAGGGGTGGGAACGTTGGACTTCAACGATGGATGTGCCTAACTTAGCGGTGAGGTCCTTGAAGATTTCCCGCCAGGACAGATGCTGGGACCGCAGCATCACCCGAGTGACTTCAAAGCTGAGCCGTCTGTCCCCCTAGAAGCGGCCGCAACTGCTGACCTCACGCTTCTTTGACTTTGTGTGCCTGGGTTTTAGAGCATGCTCCCAAAGATGTTGAGTTCAATACCCTATGAGGGAACCGTGTTATACCTGATACCGGATGTCGAATTCGCTCGGAAGCGCCAAAACTCAATGTAAGTAATTTTTAAGAAGTTGTGCGGATAGCACTCGTGCTTGGCAGCTGCCGGCTGAGGTGCGGGGCCGTTGCCGGAGGAGGGGAGCGTGGGGCGGAAAGTCTGCAGTGACAGGACCTGGTTGCTAGACCTGCTGTCAGGCGGTGTGGACAGAGGGATGGTCCAACCTGCAGCCACAGCCGGTGGGCGGCATTTCTACGTGTCCACCGGCGACAGCCCAGTCCCCTGGGGGTGCTTCCTGCTCCCGTGGCAGCCTGTGCAGAGCACCCAGGTTCTGTCACTTGGGCGCACACTTCTCACTGTGCCAGCCACCTGGTCACTCCATCTGCCCCGGCCAGCACGATTCCTCCTGCAGCCTGGCTCTGCGAACGTCCCGCCCTACCATGCACCTGACCTTCCTCCCATCCCCTCATCCCGGGGGGGAATTCCAGCTTCTCTGAGGCCCTCAACAGTGACGGTTCAGAAGTCTCTCTGGGCGTTATGATGATCTAGGCGGCTTGTGAAAAGCAGATTTCTGGACTGGAGCCTGCAGGCCCATGGGGGGCACCCCAGACTCTGCAGTTCCACAGCCAGTGTTGTTGCAAAACCTGTTCTGGGGACCACCCGCTCTCCAGGCTGGGTTTCTTCCTGCCTTTCACAGATGTTGGAAAAACCGAAGATGCTTTCAGCAGCCAGGCCCTAAGCATTTCATCCTGGTGGTTCTACCGGAAAGAGCGACTCAGCATCTCTCTGGGGGCCTTTTTGTTCAGAGGGAATGGAAGAAGCAGAGCCTCTGGAAGCGACATGTGACCTGTGTTCCGGAATTTGCTGGGCCCCCTCCCTGGTTTGGCACTGAGATCCCATACTCAGGTGAACTGGGAGTGAACGCGACAGCTGATTTACAGTGGGAGAGCATAACCCGAGGGAAGGAGGGGCAGCGAGAAGATTCGGATCTGCCCGCTGTGCAGGAAGTGCTATTCAGGCTGACGGTGGACGTGTCACGTAGAGCACGGACAGGGTTAATTCGCAGTTTGAAAATGCATCTGCCTGACCTTGCAAACTTGTTGTGTCCTACGTCAGGGTGATAGCCACTTGGAGTGACATAGACCCATTTCAGAATCAGAACAGCTGGTTCTTCCCGTTTATTATGATGGGTAGGTATCTCAGCGTGGATGGGTGCATACAGATAGATACTTGCTCATATTTTTATAAAATTTTGTTTTAAAAACTTCCGTGAAGAACCAGACGTTGGTCATGGGAATGTGGGGTCTTCAAATGTTGGCCAAATGGAAATTACTAATCACAGCTTCTTATCTAAGTGAAACGGGTATTAGACTTCTTAGTGCTATTTTCCAACAACGCATCTTTTTTCTTTTTCTTACATATTTTTAATTTTTTTGAGGTGTAACTTACAGTAAAATTCCTGCTTTTGAGTGTCCAATTCTACACGTTTTGACAAATGAATGGTCGTGTAGCCATCCCCACAATCAAGACACAGAGCGTCTCCATCATCCCCCAAATCTCATTGCCATTCTTTGTAGCCAGCACTG